ATCCAACCTAATACAGTCACCGGCACGCCATATCCAGCCATCTTCCATACCTAGCCTTCCCCGCCGTTCGAACTCTGTGTGCCACGCCCGTTTCTTCCTCGTGCACGGCCCACAACATCGGCTCGCCTTTTGCGCCCTTGTTTTGCGTCGTCTTTTGGCCCGGCACTTCTTAACCTTCAACTCGGCCTGTGGACCACATCCTTTTGGCCAATCTCGTACGCATGATGGCCGAGATACTGGACTTGATGGCTCTTCCAACATGTTCTCCAACCATAAAACAAGACCATCGTCCACCTCCTTGTCGGACTCGCCGTCCGTATCACGCCTGTCGTCCGGATCATCGTGTTGCAATAGTACCGGATTGCAAAAATAAAAATAAAAATAAAAAATAGAAAATACTTATGTGTTGTTCATTCATTATTAACGATGGATCCGATTTGCAAAAAAAAAAATACATTTTCAACTTGTTCATTCATTCCGATTTCATACGAACGATGGATCCCCAATGGCTAAGTCATCTCGGCCGTCCATTTGATAACATTACATAAACTCGTCTTGTACAGGCCTCTGTGTTGGTTTCAGTGTAGATTTTTTTTGTAAATAGGTTCTTTTAACTTATTGTTTTGAGCGTTCTAGTTCCTGAACTCTTTCTTTTGGGAGACGTAAATATTTTGCCCTTTTTTGGAGATTTCGCGTTGTATTTTTATGCATTTGAATTTGAATTTTTGGGAGGCTCACAAAAGGGCAAGATTTTTATTTATTTATTTATTTATTTTTGGGTACAAAAGAAGAGGTCAAACGCCTAGAGTGTTAAATTGCGGACGGTTCGTGAATAGGTTACGCCAATCAGATCATGTTGTAGCCATTGACGAATACCCTCCGGTGGATCATGAAAGAACTGGTACCCCACAGGGCCTTCCGCGGCGAAGGAAGCCAAGTAATCGGCCGCATAATTCGTTTCACGGAATACGTGTGTCACTTTTACCTCCCACGATCGACTTAAGAGTTCTTTGATGCCCGATACGAGGCCCGTGTGCACACCCAGGACATCGTCACTCGCGTTATCAACTTCGGCTTCTACGTACCTATGCCCCATCTCCCATGCCAAAAGGGCAAGATTGATTACATTAACAACACAGATGAAAGAAGATAAATGTGAGCTTTCTGCATTGGATTTGAAATTCCACTGTGATGCAATTAATTCAAAATCAGTATTAAAATAAAAAAAAAAAATCATCTGCAGATCCCATTTGACAAGAAGGGCCAACACAAGAAGAAGAGCAATTTCTTAAAATTAGCTTTCGTCTTTCTGAGAAGAACCTTAGGTGATCATATATTTCATGTGCTTTTCGAGTTTGTAGTTTGACGGCACACAAAAAAAATCGTGCGCGTATTAATCACTCTTCGAACACTCAAAACATGAAAACTTCATATCATAAGAAAGAAAACAACACAAACCATAGTAAAAAAAGACGAGAGTAGCAACATTAGTAAGTGCTAAGTAGCAGTGTACTTGTCTACAAAAGCTGAGTGGGCCCCAGCAGAAAAAAAAAAATTTATCGAGACGTGGGCCCCACTCACTTGGCTTCCTCTCCGTTCCCAGCAGCAGCAGCAGGAGAGTTCCCCCGAGCGGCGTCTGAGCTGGCGGCAGCTTTATTATTATCTTGCTTGCTGCCTCCTCCGAGAAGCATGTCGTCGAGGCCCGAGTTCGACGGGCCTCCTCCCGCCAACTGGCCCATGTTCGCTACACCTATCTGCGCTTGGGCCTGTTCCTGCATCGGGTGTGGGCTGGTGAACGGTGGGCCCCGCGGGGGAAATAGCCCGCCGGCCGGATGCTGCATGGGGCTCGCCTGAGGGTGATGTGGCATGTAGAAACCTCCCGGTTGTTGCATGGCAGGATGAGGTGGAGTCATCTGCATTTTTTTTTTTTAAAGAAAAGGAAAATAGACGTTTTGGTCAAATCGAAAACGAAAATAGACGCTTTGGTCAAATCGCCCGATGGAAAGTGTTGTATCAAGTCAAGCAGAGCAATAAAGTTAACTTTCGTAACTTTTCTCTCGTCAATTTTCAGTGTTCTAACCGGTACCTGAGTAGGCATGGCTGGTGTTTGCGGCTGGGCATCGGCTATTGCTGCCAAATACATCAGATTCTTCTGAAGCTGAGCCTGATACCTAAAAAAAAAAATGAGTGCAACCCATTTATTTATTTATTTCAACAATTTCTGAGTTTCGAAAAATAATTACAAAATAATTTGTCAATCACACAAGATCCAAGTCCGCTGATAGATCATTCCCCAATGAGAAAAAATAACAGGAAATTGTTAAATATCTTATGCCCCAATGTAGTTTTTTCTTCGATGGCTTTAATCATTAAACTGCATATAAGTCGGCTAAAAGTACCACTTGGTTCTCATTTCATACAAATGCAAAAGACAGGGAAAAGAGAATCACTTACTGTGCACATTCGGCAAGTTTTCCAAGATTCTGGTTGTCCAAAATTGCCAATATCAGTTTCTTGTTCTCATCAAGGTACTGTAAATGATAACAAACAAGGTCACATATCATAATGACACTCGTTATGGAAATCCGAAAGTAAGAATTGAAATTCAATAACGTCATTTGTAATGGTTAACTCTGTCAAAATTCAGACAAGATGTACAGAAAACGTGTAGTAAATAGTACTACATTTCAAATACTAATAGATATTTCAGGTTTATTCAGTTAAGAGAACAAACAAGGTCAGATATCATAATGACACTCGTTATGGAAATTTGAAAGTAAGAAATGAAATTCAATAACGTCATTTGTAATGGTTAACTCTGTCAAAATTCAGATAAGATGTACCGAAGAAGAAGACACCATCAACGTTCACGATAGTTGTTGATCAGTTCACTTTTTGCATGATTATCAATCCAAATTCAGATCAAAACACAAAATGGTTCGACAAAGGAGGAGTCACATGGCACGCACACATACAAAAATTGGTAATAGAAACACATTTGAACGTTAAAAAGGTTAAATATTACTTGCTGTGACTCCTTGGAATAGCTATGCATATTCGGCTAGTTACAGAGTCATTATATAATTCTAAACGAAACAAAATATTATAATTCCACCATCCGTTTTGTCATTTGGTATTATAAAGTTTATATCAGTAATAAACCTCGAGCTCTATTCACAAACACATCTGTGATTGAGGTCATTCAATTTAATAACTCAATTTAGTAAAAACAAGACCTCTTTGTGATTGTAGGGAAAGTAAACTTTGGGAGGATGATTTCCTAATATGAGCTTTTAACTTAATAAATATTACACTTTAAAGACACGATTTTGCTGATAACAATGTAAAATTCGATGATGAAAAAAAGGAGTTTGATGCTTAACTACTCAATTCAAAGAAACCAAACAAACTCTGTGGAACATTAAAAATAGTCACCATGCCGGGAGGGAGGCAGTTTTTATTTTGTCTTCATATAATAGTGCACTATTCCAACAAAGTGGGATCAAAGGGATATAAATCTAGTCAACGATTTGCTTGCAAGCTGATAAGTTTAAAGGCCAATTCACACAAAGTTATTACTTACAGTACTCAGAGCATGAAAAGAGTTGCTCTTAAAAATAAACTAAAAAAACATGAAAGAATGGATATTCGGCTTAATATTTTACCTTTGCTAGAGGATTAATCCATTTAGGGCGTGGTTAGGCTTGACATTGGTGATTAAAATGTTAAGAGTAATAGATATAATTCCTGAGCACATTCAGTAATAGTTTAGTGGTGTTGCCTTCAGTCGAAGGCAACAGATATCTCGTGTATCATGCATTACTCCTTATATCAGTTTTAGCCTTTTAAGATGCAAAATCACTTTATGAAAGTTTTACAATCAGCACTTCTAACAGATCTCAGTAGATAAATTTCTACTTCATTCATTCTTATCTTGTAACAACTATGACTACAATTTGGATGTGAGTAATTTTAAATCTTAATTTAATAAAAAAAATAAATAAAATCAGATGCAAATAATATTCTATAAAAACTGCATGCACTATATAGTTTTACACCTAACCGAGTATCAATATCTTATGTGTCCACTCCTTTCAATGCCTTTTAATTCTGAAATTAAATTACAGCGACAATCCAGGAACATTTATTAAAACTTAAAATACATCTTACGATAAGATTTTTTCTTTTTTTTCAATTGAATATCATCAAGGGTTGTATTTTTTTTTTT